TGATTTTATTTATTATTTATTTTCTTACTTTTATCATTTATATTAGCTCTTTTATTTTCATATTTTTACTCATTTTAATCCAGTGTTTTCTCTGTAGGGGCCCTCTGCCCCAGGGGCGGTTGTCGACTGTTGCTTCCTGGGCGCTCTACCAGTAGTGTTTAAGTGGAGGTGGGGGTCATTGTTCCCCCTCCTCTGAGTGCCCTGACTTAGTGTGGAAGACCTGATGCTGCCAGGGCAGACGGCTCCTCTGATGGTGTCTCCTTGCCTTACCTTACTTGACTCATCTGGACTCAGCCGAATATAAATTTTTACTGGTGTGTGTGTGTATGTGTGCATGCGCGCGTGCATATGTCTGTTAATGTTTTTAAACTGTTATGGGAATTTGGGGTCATTTTAATTCTGTAAAGCACTTTTAGTAGCACTTTGCTTGAAAAGTGCTTTATAAATAAAATCTCATTGATTGATTGAAACAAGGAGCATAAAAGCATACAACCAGGTCACATAAAAGCCAAATGATAAACATTTGTCTTCAAACGACTCTTAAAAACCTGCAGCGAAGGTGACAGTTTAAGATCAAGTGGAAGCTTATTCCAGAGAGAAGGAGCCAATATCAAGAAAGCCTGATCACCTCCAGACGTGGACCTAGTTTGTGGGAGAGTCAGTGGCTCCAGACCAGCCAAACGTAGAGTCCGTGATGGGGTATGCCTTTTTATTAAAATTGCCAAGTATGGTGGAGCACCACCAAAAAGATATAGCACATAACTTTAAACTTGGCCCGAAAACCTACAGGGAGCGAACGTAATGAGGCCAGCACAGGAGCGATGTGTGCCGACCTCCTTGTCCTTGTCAGAAATCTGGCCACAGAGTTCTGAACCAACTGTAGACGTCTCGGTGCTGCCTGGCTCAGCCCAGCATATATAGCATTGCAGTAGTCGAGCCTGGATAAAACAAATGTGTGGAGCACAGACTCCATATGTGCTCGAGACAACCGCAGGATAAACAAAGCATTGCTCGGCTCCAGGTTGCACAAAATACTGCTGCCAGATTCCTGACAGGCACAAGAAAGCAGGAACACATCACTCCCATTCTGGCCCACCTGCACTGGCTTTGTGTATCTTTCCATGTCAGTTGTCTTTGTTTTTTAGTCTCTGCAGGGCCGTGCTCCTACCTAACTCACTAATTTGCTCATCCAATACACTCCACCACGTGCACTTAGGTCTTCACAGCAAGACCTGCTAGTTGTCCCACGTGTGAGATGCTCTACTAGAGGAGGTAAAGCTTTCTCAGCTGTGGCCTCCAAGCTGTGGAATGACCTTCCACCCTACAAACAGTCAATGTCGCATGGACGTGCAGATCATGTCCATATTGAGTCTGTCTGTCCAGCGGTCCAGATCACGTCTGTAGGACGTCCAAACTAGGTCTTTGCACAGTGGGCACTCGCAGTCAGACAAGCACCCTCACTGCCGGTTTTTTAAGAGTTGGCTGAAGACTCACTTTTATACAGTGGTGTTCACCAACAACACTAAACTTGAGACAACACTGTGAACTTATAAATCTGATTTTTTCCCCTTTCCATTCTTAGTCTACCTCCAATAAAAGTACCAAGTAAGTATTGACGGTACTGCAGCGTATCGTCTGCTGTACAAGCTGGCTGGAGACAACGTGGTCCTAAAGCAGGCTTCCATGAACGTTCTCAGTCAGCATGAGCGCCTGCAGCTGCAGGGGGAGCCAACTTGCTGTTTCCAATCCAGACACTGTCATATGACAATAGAAAACCTCGGTGTGGCGCAGATTTCTTTCTTTCTTTCTTTCTTTTTTTTTTATTCAGTGCTTGTGCGCCCCTTTTGTGTCATGAAAAAATGTCGCCCCGGGCAACTGCCCTGTCTGCCCGTGCCTAAAACCGCTACTGCAGGCTTCTGAACTCTATGAGCATTTCTACCATGAGCTGTGACTGTGAGAACATGATGTTCCTATAAGAGCAGACTTGGGAGACCTGCTGGAAAAGATCTGCTGGGCTGAGACCATGATGGAGAAGTGAGGATAAACTTTAAACTGGTGCAAGTTTTTTTGTTTTTAATTAATATGATGCATATATCATTTCTGCCTTCTTGGCAGGCAAAGAAGACTGCACTTACAGGTCAGTGATTTGACTGCAGCCACCTTATGTTTATTTATTTAATTTTTGCTATTATGCAAACTAAGATATCAGTCTTGTGCAGTCATTATAAATTGGATAACCACTATATGTTTAAAAAGCAATATTGATGCTGTAAAAGAAGTTAATTTACATCTAATTAAGGACTCGTGAGACATTAAGATTCCATAGTGAATATGAAATCAATTTTAAGGACCGTTGAGTTATTTAACCAGAAGATTGGAACTTTTTATTGCAGGGATTGTGTAACACTTTGTATTAACTGAGAGAGAAGAGAGAGAGACCTTTAAAATGTTTAAGATGATTAATTTCTAAACAATTTAAACAATTTTAAACAAGACTAACCCTACTCTGAGTGATGGATGGATCTGGTGTAATGAGACGTGAGATGAATGGTGTGTGTGAGTGATGTTTAATCAGAACTCTCGTACCCGGAGAAGCAAGTCTGAATGATGTTGTGATGTTTTGCTTCTAGCTATGATCAGAGTTTGATCGGAGTTTCATAAACACATGAGACGCCATATTTGTCGCTCCACACATACCCTTGATGAGACCTCCGTACAGATCCAGATCGCCAGGTCCTCGGACCCCCCTTTCGGTACTGGAGCCGATGAAACAGCGTCAGCAGTACGACAAACTAGTCTTTGGATTGTCTCCAGGTAAAAAGCGACAGTTGGTTGACAGCGTCAAATGGACCCCCCTAGGGTCAGTGAGTTCAGCTTTTATTCTCAAAGGAACTGTTGCTTGGTTGGTAAAATGCAACAGATTTTATCCAGCTTGTTGGTTCTCGGCTTAAAAAGGAAGTCCGGATGGCCGGTCCGATACTTCGCTTAGCATGCGGTGAACTCCAGTGAGAGCTTGAGAACTGAACTAAGATGGCGTTGGAACTGGTTTTATTAATCTGGATGTTTTGATTTCTGGTCGAATCAAAGCTGGCAGATTTATAAACACCACAGAGACTATGCCACGCTTCAGAAAGGAAGGTTCTGACTGAATCAGTAACAGCAATGTGCCATGCATTTACATTATGTGTAGTCAGCATGTCTAGTGCACTAGATTAAAGTCATATTACTTATTAAAGCATATTAATCTTAACATTATTATTTCACAGATTGGTCAACATTATATTATTGACTAACACTTTGTTTTGATTAGCTTTTATTAAAAATAGAGTTCTTTGATTTATTAAAAGAAAAGAGTCCTTTATCTTCATTCTTCTCTTGCTGGAAAGAAAACAGTTTTAGAAGTGAATGCATGATCTTGAGGCAGTGTCATGCAGCCTAGTACTGTGTCAGAGGCATCTGTGGAGAGAAAGTAAATAACCTTGGAGGAATAGCTCCTTCATCACGTTACAATGCTTAACTTTCTCACAGCACTGTTGAACTTTTTTATAGAAATCTGCTGAACTTCAGATCACTGAGCCAGAAGGGCATGGAGCTTGCAGAGCAGCCCACCAGTTTCCATGCTCCTGTCCTGTCACCAGACAATGAGTCATACATAAGGGTTTGGATAAAAATAAATAAATAAATAAATCATGTGTCCCAAACTGCACCTGCACACATTTTCTAATGAATGGTTAAAAGCAATAAATCAGTGGAGAAAAACAAGTGATTCTGAAATGCACTGCCAAGTTCTTGCAACTTCGACATCTCATGGGGCTTAAAGGAGATGTACAGTTGGATGTCATCTGCATAAGATGGTTGGAGATTTCTTTGAAGGAGCTCAGGATGTGCTGAAGAGGGAGCAGATAGAGGAGGAAGAGTAGAGCGCCCAGCACAGAACCTTGTGGGACACCATGGGCGAGGGAGGTGGTGGAGGACCCAAACTTGGAGACGGCCACAGAGAAGCACCTAACCCTAACCCTAACCCTCAGACAGATAAGAGGAGAACCACTTCAGAGCAGATCCTGATATGCCTACCCAGTCTCTCAGCAAAGCTGCTGACACACAACCTTCTCCAGAAGTTTCAAATTGAAAAGGAGAATAGAGATTGGCCTGTAATTGTCTGCACAGAGACATCAGATTCTGGTTTCTTCAGGATCGGTTTACTGACTGCAGCTTTTAATGCAGTTGGAACCACTCCAGTGCTCAGGCTGCCGTTAATGATCAGACGCAGAGACTGACCCAAACACGGAAAGGCCTCCTTCCACAGACGAGGTGGCAAAACATCGAGTGGAGAGCTAGACGACTTCTGCCCTGAGACAAGCTTAGACAACTCAGAATAAGAGAGTATTAAAATAGCTCAGGGTGGACTGTATTGGAGTAACTGGATCAGGGTCTGTAGATGAACCAAAAATAGCAGCTCTAATGGCAGAGACTTTGCTAGTGAAAAAGTTGTGAAAGTCATCACATTCTCCAGCAGCAGTAGAAAAAATGATGCCAGAGTCCTGGTACACTGAGACAGAGTTAAGCGTTTTATGGAGAATTTTTGAATTGTTACAGTTTGTATCAATGATGTCAGCAAAATAGCCCGTTCTAGCGACCCTCACAGCATCAAGATCAAGATACTCTAAACATCTAATGGGAGACCTGTAGGTCTATGCCCGTTTATGTGCAGCCTACAGTTACAACAACCGGCGTACAATTTGAAAACAGATCAAGCGGGATTACTAGTAACTTTACAAGCCTACCTCATGGAATTCTATATTTAAATATATTTTAATTTATTTTGTTAAATTATATTTATATTTTAATTATCATGCCATATATTGTATCAGCTTTTGTGAAAAAGCTTGATAAAATGCGTTTTTTAGTTGGCTAAGCACCTTCCTAAGTAGAAATTAATGCAGTGGGGGCGAATGGAGACCCAACTAAGATGGCGGTCGGCCACTACGGCAGCCGTCCACGGGGCGTCTACGTATATATGACTGCGACCTCAGAGCCCATTGAGGCACTAGGCCAGTTAAAGCATCATGGCGGATGAAGTGGAGCAGGTTCGTTTGGTTGCCGTGTTTATACACTTTTGTTCGTTTTAGCGTCTGTGCAGTTGCTTGACTTCGTCGCGCATTATTAACTTTATGCATTTCTTTAATCTAAGGATACAAGCGTAGCATTTTGCTAATTGCTAACACGGTTTAATTGTGTTTAGGCCTGTGAAACCGGTTAGCCCACATTCACCTAGCGTTCAGCTCATCCTAAAATTATCAGTAAGCGCGTAAAAGTTACCAGATTCTCACAAATGAAAGATTAATGAATGACTTTTCCCGTTATGTTTGTCTAGCAAATTGGACAAATAATTAATATTGAGTTTTCTTTAACTATTGTGTTTAGTTATTAACTTTAGTAAGTAACGAGTCTCAACAAACTGTTTGGATCAAAGTTTATGATTTAAAATGAATATTTCTAAGCTGTAATGTGCAATTTAATTGAAAATAAAGATATTAGTGACAAAGATACCATAGTGTTAATAAGTCATGAGACGTTTAATTGGTTTGATCAGTACTTCTGCACACTCTCTTTACATTTCCTATCAGATGGTTTGTTTTCTAAGCCCTGGTCTTTAAAGGCAAGCCTTAACAAAGCTGTACAGACACAACAAAAATGAATAAATAACAATATAAAGACTCAGCTAAACAATGTTTGGATATTAGTGATGCATCGATATAAATTTTTGGACCGATACTGATATCCGATATTAAGATCACTGTTATGGCCGATAACCGATATTTGCCGATACCGATATACACTGACATTAATGCTTCCAAAATCTGCAGATTTTATATAGAATGAAAATTATTAAAGCTGGATTTACATTATTGTGTACACACAACACACACATTTACGCTTCTGAGGTGATTACAATCACTGTCACATGATTAAACAAATACACATCACCCCCCTCACCCTCTGAAACTGATAAACAAATGGAGACGAGATAGAAAAATTAATATCGGCCCGGTTTTATTTATGGGACCAATACCGATATGTTTAAAAATGACTAACATCGGCCGATACCGATATTGATGCCGATATATTGTCCATCCCTATTGGATATTTTTAATCTAGATTTTTAAAAACATTTCCGGTGAGTGTAAAAAAACCGACTAGTTTTGTTTTTAAATGTTTGCTATTTGATGAATATGCCAATAAAAAATGGAATCCGTACATTGATGATTATTTTAATGTGTTCCACAGCAACCACCTACCAACACGGTGGAGGAGCCTCTCGATTTGATCAGGCTCAGTCTGGATGAGCGGATCTACGTGAAGATGAGGAATGACCGGGAGCTCCGCGGTCGACTACATGTACGACACACACACACACACACACACACACACACGGTTCAGAAGATCCAGTTTTTTCACAATACTTGCTGATAAAACAGGTAAAAAAAATAAGACTGAAAATTCTAATGTCAGTAAAACAACTTAAAAGGTGAAACTAATCTATGAGACAGACTCATTCCACGCAAACCCAGATATTTCAGCCTTTATTTGTGATGATTATGGCATTCAGCTGATGAAAACCCCACATTCATAATCTCAGACAATTAGAATATTGTGTTCAGGTAAATATTCTAGTGTCAGACTTTTATCAGCTGATGAATCCAGAACACCTGCAGAGGGTTCCTGAGCCTGTAGATGGTCTCTCCATCTGAGCTTGATTACTGTCATAAATGGACTTTTGCACCATATTCTCTTTTGTCCAGTTTCACCTGTATGTCCTAACTAATGTTTGCCATCTGGTCCAGGCGTATGACCAACACTTAAATATGATCCTGGGGGATGTGGAGGAGACGGTGACAACAGTGGAGATTGATGAGGAGACGTATGAAGAACTTTATAAGGTCAGTTTTTATGAACAAACATAGAAAAACCTCTCTAGCCACATTTCTACTGAACAGCTTTTGTTTTGGACTCTTTGCTGTGTTTGCTTAGTGGCAAACTTGTGCCACTGTTGGGTGATGCTTAAAGATCCATCAGATGCAGAAACGTTAAACGATGTTAACTTGTCACTTTAACATAACGCTGAATAGATCTGCAGAAAGTAATAAAACAGAATTTTAAGATTCTACGAGGTTTCATTATTGTTCATGATCAGAAACTCAAGTTTTATTTAAATTTGACGGTACTTTAGTGAGTATTTAAATAAAATATCTGTTATTTAAATGTTTTTACTGTATTTGTTTCTTTAGTCTACCAAGAGGAACATCCCCATGTTGTTTGTCAGAGGAGACGGCGTTGTCCTCGTAGCTCCGCCTCTCCGAGTCGGCTAAGCCCCCCATGCCTGACAGGATGATGTAACTGCTTCTGGGAAGTGTCCATTTTTGTAGGAGAGTGTTATAAATCTTCATTTTCCTTATGCTAGACTGTTATTTCATCTTTAAATTTCATGTGAATCAGAGGCTCTTCTCTAGGGCAAAATGTCTGAGGGGGGAAAAACCCAGGAAGTATGATGTGAGGACACTTTTTTTTATTTTTTGACACATTCTGGGATTGTAAGAATCGGCCTCAGTAGATACTATTATTTTTAGTAGAAAAACATTTTTCTGAATCTTATCAGTTCCGATTGAGTCATTCCAGTGTTTATAAAGACTCGGGTCCCCTTGTGAGCGAAATGTTTGTTAAATTGCTCAACTTTTATGTTGATTTTTAGCTAAATGATTGCATTTGAGTCCCAGAACATTCTTTTTCTTTTACATGACGTTAGTGTTTTATGATTTAGTCATGCTCAGGTTTGAAAATTTTGTTTTTATGTGGTTGAATAAAAAGTGAAAATAAGAAAGTTATACTTTTTATTTAATTTTTTTTTATTCAACAGTTTTTGGCATACAGAGTCGTAGAGGCTAAAGCCTACAGGTATTTCACATTAAAAGTGTAGAAGACTGAAAATATTTTTTAATGAATATTTCTGATCCTAATGGGTCACTCTGAGTGTTTCATGCAGGCTGAACATGAAAATGGTCTCCTACACCTATCTCCTGCATTAGCTTCTGATAGAAAACAGACAGTGAAACTCTAGGATTAGAAAATCCTGACAGATCCATGTCACACTGTCACTTAACATTCATGGACTCACCCATCTGGACTCACGATGGGGAAGATAGTTGGTTTAGCATCCAGGAAACAGCAGAGCACATCTCAGCTAGTTAAAAGCTAATCATTAGCAACTCCGCCACACAGCAGTACTCCTCCAGGCGTGTGTTATTTGTGGAGATGAAACATCAGCATTGCAGAGCAGAGTTGGTGGCCCAGTCTCAATACTCACACCCTGTGGTCTTCAGCAAAGTGCACTTGGAGAAAGTGCGCTGTAGGGTTCGAGTGCGTAGCACACAAGTGTGCAAATAATTGCAGAATTGAGACAGGGAGCATCGTGTCATCGATCGCAACGCGTGCTGGGATGCTGGTCGTTGGGAAACTTCTTTTGAAAAACCTTTATTAACAACTTTCAAACAAAGCAATTATTTGAAATAAATTTAACTTCATTGCTGCTTTGTCTGAAACATTCAGAGCATCGACTAATTTCCTAAAATGAACTAATTTAATTAGAAAATGCATACTTTCAGAAAAGGAACTTGAGCCTTTTCTCCTGCAGCAATGACTAGTGGGTAATACACTTGCCCGAGGTCCGCGTCGCTGCGGACTTGGGAGAAGCGCAGATTAAGGGTGCGATGGGAGCGTGGTCAACTTCCGCATTTGATAATCAGGACACCCCACTCTCTCGCATCCCTGGCCGGGAACGCGCAATTGAAGGGTGCATGTGTGAGTATTGGGATTGGGCCAGTGATAATTGTGTTGCTTTTAGCCAATCAGAGGAGAGATGTCCAAATATCAGGAAGTAAGACTCCAGATCCTGTGGTGAAGCTATGTCCTTGGCCTGAATTCTCCAGGCCGATGCAGGCGCTGGGCCCCCAAGAGCATGGGTGTAGTTTTGGGGTGGGACACGGGGAACATGTCTCTTCCACTTTTTCCAAAGTCAATTTTTGTCCCTTGCACGTTTTACCTTCTAAAGACAATATTACGCTATATTAGACAAAACCGCTTGTGGTCAAGCATGTTTCCTATTTCCTATTTTTTTGTATACTTACTGTAAAGATCCCCCCTCCCAGTCCTCATGCCGACTGTGTCCCCCCCACTTCTAAAGTCAAAACTACATCCATGCCCCCAAGTATGACTTCTAGAGCATTCTGCTAGAGACCAATGCAGATGTATTGATTAAACAATTAAACCAAACCATTAAAATCACATGAAAACGCTATTTTCACACTAAAGGCTCATTTAAGCAAACAAAGCATGTTTGTGTTCAGTGCAGCAAAGACACCTAAAACAGGCTGGATGAGGATCCTACAGGACCTGCTTTTGAGGGTATTATTGAATGTACATCTCCACCACAAGGTGGCAGCAAATAACTAAGAACTGCAACTACACATTTTTTCAGCATCATCAAACACTTGGACTAAGTGAACCCAACCATTCTTGTGGGAAAGTTTTGAAAAAATCATTAAATCAACTTTTTAAGTGCTTATATAGTTTCTGATCCCCTTTATCCCCAGCTTGATCTCAGCTTTTATAGGTGATGCTGTTCACACCGGAGAAGCTATCCCATTCCCATCATCAATAGAAAAATAATCTTAAAAATATTAATATGTAATTCACATCTTCAGTTACATTATTATTTTCTGTTTTAAAGGAGATCACATGAACTTTATACATCAGATTTGTTCTAACTTAGGAAGAGAGGGTTGCACATGTGTAAAATGACAGTGGTGTCTAACCCTGGTCCTCAAGCCCCCATGCAGCATGTTTTAGTTGTTTTTCTGCTCAAACACACCTGATTCGATGGTTGAATCACCTGTTCATCTTCTGACTAGAGAATGCTGCTGTTGTGTCCTTCAGCAAGACGCTTAACCCGCCTTGCCTGCTGGTGGTGATCGGAGGGACCGGTGGTGTCTGTGTTTAGCAGGCCTTGCCTCCGTCAGCTGTGTCTACATACCACACCATACCATACCACACCATACCATACCATACCAACTTTATTTCTATGGGACAGTTTAAGACACAGCGTGAGAGCTGACCAAAGTGCTGAACAGGCAGGATCAATCAAAACAAAAGTAAAAACAATAAGAAGATAAAACACAACAATAAAAACTATAAAATCATAATATGATAACATGAATCACTGTCTAAAAGCCAAGTCATAAAAGTAGGTTTTTAAACTAGATTTAAAAACAGACAGAGAGGATGCCAGCCTAACTGTAATGGGCAATGAGTTCCAGAGTATGGGGGCAGCATGGACAAACGCTACATATGTATGTTGATGGGACAACCACACATTCACCTCGTGATTTGTAGGCCATCCGGGGAATGTAAAGCAATAGACGGTCAGCTGACCTCAACATACGAGTAGGTACATAGGGAGTCAGCAGGTCGGACAGACAAGGGGGAGCTAGGTCGTGTAGGGCTTTAAAAACAAACATCAATATCTTAAAACGCACACGAAATGTGATGGGGAGCCAGTGAAGATGTTTCAGGACTGGTGTAATATGGCTATGTCGACTTGTGTTTGTTACAAACCTAGCAGCGGCATTTTAGACAACCTGCAACCGGTTCAGAGCAGAGACAGGAGTTCCAACTAATAATGCATTAGCGTAGTCCAAGCTAGAGGTGATGAAAGCGTGGATGACTGATTCCAAGTGCTTCCTCTTTAAGATCGGTCTTAAATAGGCGGCATAACTGATAAAAACAAGACCTCACTACTGAGTACAGACACTTCTGCTTTTGCTCCCTTATCTTTTTTCCCAAGGCTCTTTGTCCTGTCTGCCCACAGAGTGCTTCTCTGCATTTCTTCTGAAAAACCCTATTTTTTAGAATGGATTTAATTAATTGGTCATTCAACGCGATTGACAAGATTTTTTCTATGATGAGAACGGAGGAGGGGGCTCCCACTTGCCTGCAAGGGACACACGCAGCGGGATATATCCTTGATTCCTGGAGGGAGTGGAAGATCGTTTGCCTCTCAGTTGTCCATTGAGGATGTCGAAAATGTGTGGATATTTGGCCTGATGATCACTGGATTTCTTCTGATTGGAGTGGGAGGATATCTGGTTTTCTGGAAATTTGGGAAGACGGGAGCGACTGGAGGGCGACCCACACCCACGGAAAGCACCGTCCATGTGGAGACCTCACAGACTGGGATGTTACACGAGGTGAATCGTAAGCTGGACAATGTTCTAGCTGCGTTACCGGTATTAGTGCACAAAATGGATGTCATCTCGGAGAGGGTCACTGGACGGTGTGGAGATGTTTAAAACCTGAACTGGCTTCACTGGAGGACTTAAAGATCAGTTACCGACTTCAAGGCAGAGAGGAAAATTATCTCTGCCTGACCCAAACAAAGTCTTGTTATCCGAATCTGACGCCATGACAGCCCCCACGAAGGAATGCAGACAGATGCTGTGAAAACCCGACCTACCCCCCCGCCTTCGGATTGGTGGACTTCAGCCTGGCGAGGTCATCAACCTGCAGGTGTCAATGTGCTCTGCGCTCCTCCCAAGATCTACCTCCCACCTGTGGCTACAGTGGCTGAGCGCCATAGGGCTGCTCTCGCTGGGGAAACAGCACAACAGTCTGTCCTTTTTCCACCTCCGCTCCAACACCCTGCGCTGCTGCCTGAGACTACGAGTGTAGTTATTTAACCAGGGGTCAGAGATGGTCTTTTTCCGCCTCAGTCTAAGGGGGGCAACAGCATCCAGGGCAGCAGAGCAGATCTCGTTGAACAAATGCAAAAGGCCATCTACATCCATGCAGGAAACTGAAGGGGGTATGGTGAGAGGACCAATATCCAGGAGAGACAGAAAATTTGAGGTGGTATTTAGAGATAAGCACCTAGAGTAATGAGCATTCTGTCTCTGGGCTGGAGGAAGAAGACATGAGATATTGAATAAAATCGCAGCATGGTCAGAAAATGCCACAGAGTCCACAAACATGTCAATCACATGTAGTCCAAAAGATAAAACCAAATCCAGGGTGTGAGAGCCGGTGTGTGTGGGGACATTAACCAGTTGTTGTAATCCAAATGAGTCCAAGATGTCAACAAAATCCTTCACCAATGGCTTCAGAGGACAGCAAATGTGGAAACAAAAATCACCCAGGATAATTCCCTGGTCATATTTAGGGAGTAATTCAGCTAAAAGATCAGAGAGTTCTTCTATAAAACACTGTTATATTTTGGTGGTCTGTAGCAGAGTAAGGGAGGAGAAAATCCCAGCTCAAGAAATGAAACCTCAAAGCTGATTGGAGCCAGTGGCCTAGCAAGGGGTTTTAGGGGCAGGGTCTTGGCTCATTGATAATGTTACAGTCAGGAGGTCAGAGTTCAACCAGAGAAGCCGACTCACCAGGTGGGACCCACGTTTCAGTCATGCAGAACAAGCTCACTTCCTTGTCGATGTAGAAGTCCTTTAGAATAGCCGTTTTATTCCTAATAGAGCGGACATTCAGTAGAGCAATCCGAATAGGTGGCAGGGACAGCGACGGAAGCTGCGGGGAGGATTGCCGCACACCCGACCTCACAGGATAACAAAGATTACGGGGATTTACTCCTCCAGTGTGGCGCGTTGGATGACAACTCCCAATGTGCGATCCAGCCTTTGGTGATGCAGTATCTGGAGGAAACGAGGTGGAGAATCATAGGGAGGCACGTCCAGGGAAGCAAACCGACCAGCATTGCATTCCGTCGGAGGGATCTGATCCTGACACTGACACTAACATGTTTTCCACGCCGCCACC